ATAAGAAAAAAAAAATCCTTGCATATTCAAGATGCGCTTTCTAGCATCTTCAGTTGTAAAATCCTAGATAGCATTTTTGGTCTAATACCTCATAAGGTTGTTCTCAGTTCTGTTTGTGAAACAGATACTGTACATGAGTTAAAATACAAATATAAAAACAATGAGAACAAAGCTAGAAATTAAAATGAGTAATCTGCTTCTCAGGATTAATTCAAATTTCACACACACACACACACACACACACAATTTCATAATGGTAATAATACTAATATTGAAAATAAAGAAGATCAATTTCTGTGTTATTCATTACCGGCCAAATACACAGAGTTCTTTCAAGGGATTATTATTGTAAGATAATAACTTTTCATATCCTCAGTATAACCAGACAATCCTGTTTTAAATTTGGCAATATAAAACTGGTGGGAAACAATGTCCAATTCTAAACTGCTTCCAGCCAATTTAGATAAGCTTTTTAAGAAGCACCTGGACACCTATTGCAATGCTGTTTTCAATTCTGTATATTTCTACTTTATACTCCTAAATGCATAGTTTTTGCAATAATCAGTCAGCTAGCTTGAGATCCCTCCAAATGCACTTGTAGGGATTGGAAAATCTATAGAATCAGGGGGAGTGGTAAACATGTAAATACATAAATATATACAATGGATTTATCCTTTGTTGGGCTTTACACATTGCTCGGCACATTTTCTACAGACAAACTATTGATTTCTTTTTATTATTCAATTCTGACTTTCCCAAGCCTACACTTCTTTTTTTAAATTTAGAAAGTGTCCTTGAGTTTGGACCAGAGGTGGTATTCTGCAAGTTCTGATCAGTTCTGGAGAACCGGTAGCAGAAATTTTGAATAGTTTGGAGAACTGGTAAATACCTTCTCTGACTGATCTCGCCCCCATCTATTCTCTGCCTCCCGAGTCCCAGCTGATTGGGAGAAAATGAGGATTTTGCACTAACCTTCCCCTGGAGTGGAGCGGGAATTGAGATTTTACAGTATCCTTCCCCTGCCATGCCCACCAAACCACGCCCACCAAGCCACACCACAGAACTGGTAGTAAAAAAATTTGAATCCCACCACTGGTTTGGACCCTCATAAACATCTGGTAGCTGGATAAAACACATCTTGAAAAAGAAGGAATACCTTAGAAAATATATTAAATTTACTAAACTTACCATATTTTTGGGACTATAAGACACAAAGAAGAGGCACCAAGATTTTGAAGAGGTAAGTTTAAAAAAAGGTTTTTGCCCGCCCCAGCCCTCAGGAGCACTCTGCAGGCCTCCCAAACGTTCTGCACAGCCCATTTTTTGTGGAAAAAAATGTTGGTCCTTACCTGAAAGTTTCTTTTCTGCAGTGAAGGAGGGAGGGGCTACAGCTGTGTTTAGTCACAGCTGATTGGTCCAGAGACTGAGGGAATTTTCTTAAAGACACCATCCTTCCCTACTGGCTCCCAGTTTCCTCAAGGTTGAATGGAGCAGCTGTAAATCTTATGTAAGGCAAAACAACTGGAGACACACCACGACCGCCCCTCGCTGGGCCTAACTGAACTTACTAGGGTGGGATGTAGCCCCTCCTGTCTTCACTGCAGAAAAGAAACTTTCAGGTAAGGACCAACGTTCTTTTTCCTGCAGCTCGGCAGGAGGGGCTACAGCTGGGACATACCCAAGCTAAGTCCCAGGGTGGAATGAAGATCCTGGAAGAGGGGAGGCCGCCACCTTTTGAAGAACTTGACGCCCGAAAGATGCGTCTGCCGAGGCAAAACGGTCCAAATGATAGTGTCAGATAAAGGGTGTTGCGGAGGCCCAGGTGGCCGCCCTGAAAAGGTCCTCCATGGGTGCCCTAGTGGCCCACATGGCCATGGTAGCAGCACTTCAAGTGGAATGGGCCATGATCCCCTGGGGAGGAGTATTCCCTGAGGCTAAATACGCCTCACTAATGGCCTGTCTCAACCATCTACCAATGGTGGTAGACGAAACTCTAGCACCCATTGTGCTGGGCTGAAAGGATAGACAGAGTGCTTCTGACCGGCGGAAGGAGGATGTGCATTTAAGGTAGATGCGCAAAGTGCGGCGTACATCCAGCCGGTGCTCCCTCTCATGTGAAGGTGAGGGGCAGAAGTTAGGGAGTATGATTTCCTGCAACCTATGAAAAAGGAAGTTGATGTTCGGGATGAAGGTTGGATCTAATCTAAGGATGACCCTGTCTTAGTGGAATTGGCAAAGGTCGTCCTTGGACGACAATGCTACCAATTCAGATATGCACCGAGTCAAGGTAACGGCAACGAGAAAGGCTACCTTCAAGTGAGGAATCTGAGGTAAACTGTCCTCAGTGGTTCGAAGGGAGCGCCCCTGAGGGCCCTGAGCATGGTAGAGAGGTCTCATGTCGGAAAATGATGGATAGGAGGGGGATGTAAGTTCGCCGCCCCTCTGAGGAACCGTTTAATTAAGGGAACCTGGAACAAAGAAAAGCGACCATCCCCTGCCAGAACGGAGGAGAGGGCAGCTGCCTGCCTATGTAGGGTGTTATGGGAAAGGCCGTGGTCTAGGCCATGTTGAAGGAATTCAAGGACCTGAGCCACTGAGGCATGAGCCAGAGAGAGACTGACTCTCTCGCACCAGGAGGCGAACGCCGACCACATGGAATTATACCTGATCGTGGACCTGACCAAAGCGTCTGATGTTATCTGATCCTACGGATTCGCGAAGGATGCCAGGTAGCCACCTATGGGTTGACTCGGGTTGGAATCATTTCCCTCTGTGGAAAGGATGGCCGCCCCACCCTCGAAAGGGATACTTGGATTGTCCCTGAAATCTACTCCTATCCTGGTAGAAGGATTGATGACTCTGCCTGTCATACCTACAGGGGGCATAATGCTGCTGCCGGAAGTCGAGTTCGGGAGGCCGGCACGAAGAAGGTCTCCTGTAAGAAGAGGGATGAGAGTCCTGCTTCTTGGATTTAGAAGGGAGAACCTTGTTCTCCACAAGGATTGGGTCAAGAGATTCCCCGAAAAGATTTGGACCAGTGAAAGGAGCTGCAGCCAACTCCCATTTGGACTTGTTGTCCATTTGCCAATTGCAAAGCCACAAGAGATGTCTAGATGTGACTGAAGTGGACAGTGCCCTGGATGCAAACTTGATGGATCTGCAGAAAATTGTGTGGCCGCAATAATTTTAGCCAGGTCTTGATGGACGCGTTCATCCTGGATTGGAATGCGATCCTGTAGCTGGCGAAGCCACATGACTGTTGTTCAGTTAAAATAGGAAGCTGCGGCCACTGATTTGATCGCCCAGGCGGAAGCAGTAAAACTTCTGCGTAAGGTGAGCTCCGCTCATTTATCCTCAAGCTTCAATTTATCTGCCACATCACTGGAAACTACGATGGAGGCGTTGACCATGAGCACAATGGGGGGATCTACAGTTGGCAATTGAAGGACCTTGGAAAAAGCCTGCTCCATATTGTAGAAGCGGCGGTCATTACTCCCAGGGTTGGGCAAAGAGGATGGTCGGGCCCACTGGTTCTGAACCACCTCAAGGAAGAGAGGAGGGGCTGGAACCTCCTCCTTATTTGTATTGGGATTGATAAACATAGTTAGATAGGGGTCCCTGTGTTGAGACACTGGCAGGGCCCCTGTGCCAATCTGAGTAGTTTTCTTGGCCTTATGTAAGAGAGGCTTGAAGGCCGGTGGTATAAAGAGGCCTGGAAAGACCTGGGAGTCTGGAGGAATAGTCTCGTCGTCGTCTGAGAAGCCTAATTCTGGATGAGTACGCTCCTCCAGTGTTGAGGCCTTGCTGACCACCGAAGGAGA